CACTTCCCGACCGAACTAGGCTTCGGCCCAAGTATGAAAAATGTTCCTCTCCTTTAGTTGTACATTTTTGCAGAATTTGGTGAATTTTAGTGTTGGTCGGAATTTGGGGTTTCCGTTTGTCGGAAACCGCCACCCGCTGCGGTGCATGCGGTGGCGCGTGACCAGTGGGCCGACCCTGCCTTTTAAAGTTAAATTTGATGCTCTTATTTCAAATTTGATAACCATTTGATAGTTTGAACCTAGTATGGAATATTACACCACTTGACCATTTATGATTCGATGATCTGACCGTTGGATCGTCACCAAACCTTAACTCGTTATAGTACGTAATATTTGAGTGCCATAAGAACTGATGGATTGGAAATCCAATATATGAATCTTCCTAAATTGAATTTCTAAGTTTGTAAAACCAAACGTTGATAGCAACCTAATTCTAGCAATTAGCGGAGATTCGATCGTTGGATTGTTCAGAAATTTTAGAATATTATTCTAGAAGATAAATGAGACCCTTGGGAAGTTACAGATAGGAAATCCATGGCGGATGTTCCAAATTGACTTGTATAGGGTTGTGGACCCCACCTTTGACAGAGACTTGACTTTTGGTCAATAGGCTCTTAAATATTAAAATATGTATTACTAGAGACTATGTAGGGCTTAGTGGGTCTATATTGGTTAGTGGATTATCCCAGATATATATACATATAAGTTTACGTGTATGGGATGTCATATTGTGATATATATGTGTTTATTTATCTTCTTAATAATGTGAATGATAAATGTTATGACAATGTGATCCTAGAATCCTATTAGATGTATTCTGTAGAACTTATATGCTTGTGTGAGATATTAGTTGGTGACCATGAGAAGTTGATGGTGAAGATGACTACATTGTAACTCATAGGGGTTAAGGTATGGGTAGGTTGTGTGTTGAATTTATTGCACCATGTAGCACTGGTACTTGGATAGTCCTGCTTGGTATATCCGCGATAGGTGATCACAGCCTACACGATTAGACTATGCTTATGGTTCTGCTTGGTATATCCGAGATGGAGGGCCATACGCATTCTAAGAGTGATCATGCTTGGTATATCCGCGATGGGGGACTGTTAGGGGTGACCATACTTGGTATATCCATGATGGGTGATCACTACCTACGATATTAGACTATGCATATGGTTCTGCTTGGTATATCCGCGATGGGGGACCATACACATTCTAGGAGTGATCATGCTTGGTATATTTGTGATGGGTGATCACTACCTACAGTTTGGATGTGGTCATGCTTGGTATATCTGCGATAGGTGATCACTACCTAAAGTTAGGATGTGATCCTGCTTGGTATATCCGCGATGGGGGACCATATGTATTCAGGAGTGATCATGCTTGGTATATCCGTGATGGGTGATCACTGCCTGCATGATGAGATTATGCCTATGGTTCTGCTTGGTATATCCGCGATGGGGGACCATACGCATTCTAGGGGTGATGAGGATTAGTTGTACTTGGTACATTTGAAATAGGCGACCATAGTTTAGTTAGATTCCGTTGAGTGGTCTGGAATCCTTACTCTTACTTACTTCCATAAAGTTAGTCCGACCCTTAGATTCGAGTGAATAGGAATTGTTCACAGTAGACATTGTGTTTGTAAATTGGATTTATCATGTTATTACTTGGGAATCCAAGTAGGGAATTATGTTGAATTCCTTTATTAAATTTCGTGAATTGATATGTGATCTTGTTGATTGATTAATGTAGTTAAATGTTAATATCGTGCATCTGTGATTCATGGAATTGATTAATTGGAGTGATTGTGGAATGATGTTGGATATGATTGTTATTATTACGATCAGATTAGTTGACCAATGTGGCTAGAGAATAATATTGTGCTTCATTGGTTCTTTGATATGTTACATGCTATGGATTGCGATATTAAGTTGAAACATAGTGATTTATGATGGATGAATTGGAAATCTTGATTGTTATGTGGGTTGTTATGTAGCCATGAGTATAGTAATTTCGTGCTTGTCAAGTTCTAATGATTGATTTAGGAATGTTATGCCTTTCCATTAGGGTACGTAAGCAATTTAACGAGGATGTTAAACGCAGCCATAAAGTATACGAAAATTTCTACCCAATTCGAATCTTGAATTATGCTTTGTACATATCCCGGAGGTGGGGTTTGTTGGATATATGGATACTTGGTGACGTCACGTGTCAATCCTGGACGTATGTTGAGATCAGGGTATGACATTTGCTTTTGATTGCGAGTCGCCACATGGCTCAATCGATGTCTGAGTAGACTTGCTCCTGAAGCCTCGTCAAATTGGGATGGTAGACGATCGATCTTAGGGCTCGGAACGCCTTTCTTTATACCTTTTGGGCCTTAGGCTCTATAACATTCTTTGGTCTTTAATCTCACTTTGGGGTTTTTGTGGCCTCTTTCTCGGTTTACACCATTTTGTGGGCCTAGAAGTGCCCAACATTAAAACATCTTCATTTTGGATAAGTAAACATTGTGTTGACAATCAGCGACACCTTCAGTTTGGATAAGTAAACGGCACTGGAGCTGTAGAACTAGACGATTCAGAAACACCTTCAATTTGGATAAGTGAACAATATTGTTTCTAGTTGGTTGGTTATCTAACCAAGTCTCGGCCGGTGAAGAATTCTTGATTATTTCACCTAAAAAAGTCACTTCATTAGCCTCAGTGAAGTGAGGTGTTCTAGGATCAGTTACTCTGAAGTGTACTTAATAGTTCGGCTTTTGGATGGTCGAACCACGTTCATTATAAAGACACTCACCTCCTTTCGGTACATTTGCCCCTACAGCCTGATAACGATTCAGCGCACTTATATTCTCACGAATATAGTTGAAGTGGTCAAACCCCAGTGCACAAGATCCTGAACTTCACGATAAATTAAGCAACCTTGTTTTCAGGTTCTAGAACCCTAGGCTGAGAGGTATTCATTCCTCAATCGTAGTCTAACAGTGCATTCGATACAATTGCCATAATTATTCTACTTGTCTGACCGAGCTCAATGACGAGTTAACATGCCCGCATTCACAAGAATGATGTAAGTAACTTATAATTACCCGGTTTGCGTGCCACATAAATTTTGTAGTTTTTAGAGTTAATATGATTTTTATTGTTGGCACATAACACCACTGTTACACTACTCTGCACACAACTTTGTACATTTATTTTACATTATTTTAAGGCCTTATTTTAACTTTGTTCATTTATCATGCTTTGTACTTCTGCAGTCCGATTTTTAGTCGGCATCATTCTTCTCTCTTTTTAACTAAAATCCATTCGAAACTTTCCAAAAATCCCCGGAAACTACTTAAAGCCCCTGATTTAGCACACTGGGTGACGCAATTGTTTATTGTCAAAAACTCGGAAATCTTAATGCGGTTGTCGTATTTAGTATTCGGCTTCGCTCGGCAAAAGTCGGACTTTGGCCCTTTTGTCTCACAAAAGAGAACAAGATGACCAATCTTCGTTTTATTTTACAAGTTGCTTCAGCAACTTGCCGGTTTGGAATTTAGGTAAGGGCTTCAGGTTCATGAATCTACTTCGTGTTTAATAATTATATGCCTCGGTTGAAGCCTAGGATTAGTTGTTTTTTTTTTTTTTTTTGGCAAACAGCTTAGGATTAGTTTAGCTTGGACAATACATTAGAAGATGAAGAAGTTACAAAGAAAATTCATCTTTCTCAATCCTACTATTTTTGCGTAGGGATTTGAAGGAAATATGCAAGTTGACATCAATATTTTTATTCAATTTATTGAAGTTAGTGATTTGTCCAAGTCAAGCTAATCGTATACATTAAATGATGCCCTAGGGTTTTAGTTTTGATTCTAATAATCTATGTACTTATCTATTCGAATATTTAAAAACTAAACACTTAATTGTAAATAAAATTATATTTAGTGCTTAGCTTAACTTGACAAGAGAAATTTTAACATGATGATTATTGTTTGTTCAAAAAAAATTACACGAGAGTTTTGCCAAAACAAAATTCCAACATCAACAATGAAGTTGTATATAACAATCAGTAAAGAAAATATACTTTGCATAACAAGTTAACAACTCACTAAAAGGGGTCTGTCTTCAAAGTCCGTGATACTGCGTAGTCCTGCTTTTTATCAATTAAATTGGCAAGTAAGTAGAAAAAAAAATTCAATTCAATTATGACCGTTCATTTTTCATATTACTGAATAGTTTGAACTAATGAAGAAACATAACAAAATTCAGAAACTATACTAGTTATAACGTGAATTCTGGCTTCCTGATACAACTCACTAGTATAGCCCTATACTAGTGATAACATGAATTGTGTTAAAATAACGCTAGAATTATAATTTTCTGAATTTGAGAATAAATTGTGTTGGTACATGTTAATCATAATTGGACATCGAACTCGTTATTAATAAGAGTCGACGCAAGACTAACTTATAAATGAAAATGAATACTACCAAACTATAAAAAAGAATTTAATGAGCAAACAAGTTGAGATAAGCCACATATTCATTATTATCATTATTATTATTTAGAAAATTGGCACATTCATTGTAGATATTTTCATTTGGTGTCACAATTTTCTTATCTTATAAATCTAAAAAAAAAATGTTAACTAGATCATATTTTTGTACCGTATTCATGATATGACAAGTGACGTGGACATGATAAATTAATCAAATGAATTCATCTTATTAACTAATGATTGTCTGAATCATTTGCCATGTTATATAATACATCAAGATGGTATAAATATGTGATCTCCCAGATTGTACTCAAATTTGAAATACAATAAATAAAATACATGCATATTAATTGCTGTCTTTATGTTGGCTATCGATGCAATCCAAAGCACCAAAACTCCACATATCAATTTGCACACATGGAGCCACTTAATACTTAACACAGAAGATGAAATGAACCCACGTGAGGATAAAAAGGCACAAGCTTTCCAGACACCCAAGCCCGTCTAAAAACCACCATACTATCTATACTAGAGAGAGAAAAAGTTCTTCTCGCATCTCTCATCTCAAACTAAACAATAAGGCCATGGATCAAGACATACCAAAACCAAAACGCAACAAAAACACACAGAACTCTTCCAACGAGTGTTCGTTGTTGCCAGGCTTACCCAACCACCTTGCACAGCTCTGCCTTACAAGGATCCAACCTTCAACTCTCTACTTTGTTTGCCGTTCATGGCGGCGCCTCATTTACTCTCCTTCATTCCCTCCTTTCTTCGCTCTCTATGCCATTCTCTCCCCTCCACCTCCCCTCAACTGCAATTCATCAATTGAGTTCTACTCACTAGATCCCCTATCAAACAATTGGACATCTCTCCCTCCACCTCCTTCAGACCCTCCTCTTCACCTCCTCCGCCGCCACCCTTCCTTCCTCTCCCGAAAAATCCCCATCCAATCACTATCCGTCTCTGGCAGTCTTGTCCTCGTCGCAGCCACTAATTACAATTTCACTCCAGCACTGCCTCGTCCTCTCGTCTTCCGACCATTGTCCAACCAATGGTCATTTGGCCCTCCGCTAGCAGAGCCTCGCCGGTGGTGTGCGACGGGGACAGTAGGGGGAAAAGTCTACGTTGCAAGTGGGATTGGATCAAATTACAGAGGCGACGTGGCGAGGTCTATGGAGGAGTGGGACATGAAGAAGAAGAAGGAGGCATCTTCATCATGGGTTAAGAAGGCGGGGTTGAAAGATGGGAGGTTTAGTAGGGAGGCTGTGGAGGCAATTGGGTATAGAGGGAAGCTTTGGATGGTGAATGTGAAGGGCAATGCAAGAAAAGAAGGAGCTGTTTATGACGTGGAAAATGACACATGGCAAGACATGCCTCAAGGCATGATTGGTGGTTGGAATGGGCCTGCTGCTGCATCCATCAATGACGACGACGACGATGATCATGATCATGATGTGATGTATGTGGTGGATGAGAGTACAGGCGTGCTGAGCAAGTATGATGATGAGAACGACTGCTGGGAAATGGTGGTGGAGTCGGATGTGTTAAGAGAAGCTGAGCAAGTTTGTGCAGGGAGAGGGAGAGTTTGTGTGGTTTGTGCTAACGAGAAAAGGATTGCGGTGGTGGATGTGGTGGCGCCGCAGCCGAGGATTTGGGTGGTGGAGCCGCCGCCGATGCTGCAAGTTGTGGCGGTACACATTTTGCCTAGGATGTGTAGGTCAGAGTAACTGTCTGGTCTTCTGAAATAGTTTAATGTAGCTTGGATAAGAGTAATGCTTTAAATCATATTTTGCAAAAGGAAAAATTAGTACCCGATCTCTAGTTAATATTGTTTATTAACTAAGATTTTATTAGTTTTTAAATTTTGATTGACGTCTCTAGTATTAATATGATAATGAATTTACATATGTTTATTACATAATTTTTTAAAATAAAAATTAGTAATTGATTTAGGGTTTTAATACTCAAACCTCTATTAAACTTCTAATTAATTTTCAATTCAAACATTTCCAAAATAAATAAAAAAAATTAGAATAAGTTTGTACCCATTAGTTTTTTATAAAAAGGTTCTCAATTTTTTAATCTTAAATGTACCCATTCATATAATTTTCAATTTTTTTAATCTTAAATGTACCCATTCATATAATTTTCAATTTTTTAAAATCTTAAATGTATCCATTCTTAAATGTACCAATTTGTTATATGTAAAATGTATCATTTTTTTAATATAAAATGAACCAATTTTTCATTATAAAATCCATTCAAAAATTTTTAATCCATTTTTAAATTTATATGGGTACATTCTTTTTCGTAAATTTTGAGAATGTATCCATTTCAAGTTTAATCGAAGAAATTTACTAATATTATTAAGCCTAATATCTTTTTTTCTCATGTAGTTTTGAAGAATGTACCCATGTTTTGTTTTGGTACAATATTTTTTTTTTTTGTTAATTTTGAATGTACCTATATTTACATATATATATATATATATATATATATATATATATATATATTTTGAGGGAATATTTACATATATATATATATACACACACACACAATATAATAGAGAGTATACTTTATATTTTATTATTTTTAATCCCACAAATTATGGATTTTATTTTAAATCTCATGAATATAAACAAATACAAATTTCAATTTTTAATTTTTAATTTAAAAACTATAGTAACTTACATTATTACATTAATGTCAGGGATTTGATTAAAAACTAAAAACTAACAAGGTTTCAATCAAAGAATATTAATAGCTAGGGACTGCATTCAAAGTGTCACTTTGCAATCATACAACACGGTTATTGATAATTAGATTATTACTTTAAAGTAGATTAACATGCTTATTTTTATTGGTAACACATTACATGATCTAAAAATATGATCTAAAAAATTGGTCTATCTAAATTACTCATTGGATAATTAGTAGTGGTGGTTTGTCCATTTTTTCTTTCTTTCTTTCCTCCTAGGGTGAGTGTACAGGAAGAACTGCTCTCTGTCACTTTGCTTATTGTAAATAATTTGTGAAATATATAGTTTACAAAGAATTGAAATGTCTGTTTGAAAAGAACAAAGAATTTCAGCGGCTGCTTACTAACAGCTTTATTATCTTCTTTTCTCAAGTTTGTTTTTCTAAGGAATATTTTAATATAATCTAAACTGCACAGTGTAACATTTAAAATTGAGTGTCCAAAGAAAAAAGAAAACACATTGTTGTATTTAACTTGACTATTTTAACTTCAAATTTCTTCTTATTTGGTCAAAACTTCAAATTTCTCTAAAAAAATTGTGATTTAAAGAGTAGATTTGTTTGAAAAGAAATTATGATATTTCAATTTGAGGTTCAAATGTCACTATATTTGTGGAGTAAAAAATAATTCGAAAAAATCTAGAGATAACACGTTGACTTTTATCCATAAGTAATGAGAATGCTTTCATTAAATTGGCGAGACACACATCTGTTCCATGTGTAGTACAACCACCAAGAAGACCTGAACTACTGACTTTGGCTTTTCTAAGCTCCACTACCCATAACAGGGAGATAAATAAAGGGAATTGAAGATATAATTAAGGGGTGTGCCTATCCACACACTCCTTTTTACTTCACACACACCTCTTGTTAATTTCTGTTCGTTGATCTTCTTCAATTCATCTAATCTGACGGCTAAGAATTAGAAGGGTGTGTAAGAAGTAAAAAGGGGTGTGTGGATATCACACCCCATAATTAATAACTAATTCCTATCTTTAAGCTTTCATTGAAGACCAACTCAATCGAGCAACGAATCACAATCAAATCCAATCAAGGATTCTACGAGATAATTCCGAGATATTATTAATTAAGTAATATCTTTGGGATAATTCTCTCCTTCATCCAACGGATGACACACCTTGACCAACTGGATGCCTACACATGGTGTGAGATCCCCCCCCCATGACTGACCCTAACTCCTACAAATACTCATTCTTCATGAATTTCTAGTAAGCTTTTGCTATGCAATTAAGCCATAAACTATCTATTTTCAGAGAAACTGACTTAGGCATTGGAGATCCATTGGCCGAACCCCCCGCTTCCTTGGGTGTGTGGCTTTGGACTTTGTTCAAAGGTGCTTAATTGTTTTGTAGGTACAATTGTTCCACAAATTGGTGCTTTTATTGAGAGCTTCATTTAACTTTCAAAAAAGCTTTAGCAATTTCTTTCGGGAATTTCCCCTTCTTTGAATTTTTCTAGTGCTCATCTGAACTTTTTAATTTCTTGATTTGTGTGCCTTAGAGAAATGAAAACATAGTTGGAAGTTCTGAAACCACGACAAATGGCATTTCCTACGTGTCTGGGTTTGCACCTAACAACAAAAGTCACCCCGTTTCTCATGACGGAACACAAAGAATACTTGATCAATGCACCAAATCTCCCTCTTCCGTGGAAGATCCAACGTTGTGATTATTCCAGATGTTTAAAGTTCTGACTAGGTGTGCAATTTCGCATAAATACAGAAAGCCATGTTAGGGGTGCCAAAATCCCATTTTTCGTATTTCGATTCGAAATGATCTTTTCACGAAAATTGTTCATCTGATCGAGAACTATATGTTTTCCAAATCAGTGTAGTAACAGCAGCCTTGTTGCAGCCCAGCTTGGAGCAACAACCAAGCCTTCGACACGTAGGCATAGCTCGCAGTAATAGCACAAGCTCATAACGCACAAACCCAACTCATAGTAGCAGCACACCCCAATGCGCGCAAGCCAACTCGTAAAAGCAGTGTAGCCCAACATGCGTAAACCTAAGAGTAAGCCCAGGCCAAGTTGCACGAGCCGAGAACCAAATCTAGAGACCCATCTTATGCTACCCAATGCATTGCAGCAGCCCAAGGCGCACTGCCTTCAGCGTATCAGTCGCGCAAACCTACGCCATTAACTTGTAGGAGGCCGACTCATTCCAACGCTAGCACCAATGCCCTTGTAGTATCCCACATCGGTGGGCTGAGGGGTGGTCCCTGGCCTTATATGTACATGCCCCTCTCTTCCTAGCATGACGCGTTTTGGGTAGTGAGGTTCTCTTGTCTAGGAATAAATCTATGAGGGCGTGGCCCCAAGCGGACAATATCGTGCTACGACGGAGTTGGGATGTGACAATTTGGTATCAGAGCCAGACTCACCATCCGTTCGGATGTGCCGAAGAGGACGTCGGCCTCCCTAAGAGGGTGGATTGTAGTATCCCACATCAGCGGGGTGAGGGTTGGTCCCTAGCCTTATATGTACATGCCTCTCTCTTCCTAGCATGACGCATTTTGGGTAGTGAGGTTTTCTTGCCCAGGAATAAATTCGTGAGGGCGTTGCCCAAAACAGACAATATTGTGCTACGATGGAGTTGGGATATGACAGTGTTCGACTTAACCAGCTCCAGCTAACCAATCTTGGTTCAGGCCGGATTGACCAGTCCACTAATGAACCAAAAATTGAACCAACGACGAATTTGAGTGATTCGTAGAGAATCCGACCAGATTTCTGGCAAATCTAACCATATTTCTAGCAAATCTAATCTGTTTCCTGACTATTCTAACTTGTCCTGGCTCAAATTTTGGGCCAGTTGTCCACTACTTGCTAAGATGCCTATCAACCGAGCTCATCCACTCTGAATAGGGATATAAACCTATCCGGACATATCACAGACTTAACAAGCGCCCTCGCATATAGTGGCCCCATGAATTGTTGAGGAGATAGGTGAAATTTGAAAGGGTAAAAGGTTCCAAAAAAATGTAGACAACCATTCAAGGTCTAAGTTCATGGTCTACAAGAAGATTAGATAATACTTCAGTCAACTAAGTGACATCACTTTATTGAGAACTATCCAGAATATTCAAATGAGTATTTGTACTAATCGGAATATTCGAATGAGGATTTAGATTACCCGAAATTTTCAAAGTAGGAATTGGACTAACCATAATATTTGAATGAGGATTTAAGCATTGTTTCTTATAGTATAGTCCCATTACGTAATTGTATAATGAGCACGTTCTAAAAAACGCCACATGCTAGTCTTGGGATGATGTGCCTTAATGCCTAGCGCCTAGGCAGAGCGTAGCCAGACTAGGTGAATTTAAGTAATTTATTATATATAGTATACATAAATTGTATAAAATATTTATTATATAACATATAATATAAGAATTGATAGATTTTCCTTTAATATTTTGGTCAATTATATTATGGGATAAAAGTTCAAGTGACTACGAGATCATAAGATTTATATAATGTTTTTTTTAACTCATATAAATTTATAGTGAATTTTAAGAGGAATAACGGTGTCAAGCATGTGGTTTATAAAAACATTGCTGAAGAAGGACACGTAGAAGAGCGCAACTTAATTGGACAATAACTAAAAGAACAAGTGGTGTAATTTGATTAGACATCAATTGAAAAAACAACAAAAAAATGGTGAAAGTTAAGAAATCATGTGGGTGGGAATGAGTGAGAAACTCTCTCTTTTTCTTCCTAATCTCCTCCTAGTTTTCGAATTATAAAATAAAACTTTGATTTCTCTGGTTTCAAAAACAAAATTGGTCAATTATGTATTCTCTGGTTTCAAAAACAGAAATAAAACTTTAATTTTGAATTATAAAATCAGATTGAAAAAATAAATATGGCGCGCACATCGCAGTAGCAGCGACAGCATCCCTCATTCAAGCATATTTTCAAACCCTTTTCCGTGTACGTTTAGAGAGGTGGATTCCTCAAATTTCCTAGGAATTTCAGATGATCAGAGGCCCCTCTTTGCTCTAGTGAAGATTCGCCCATGCTCAC